GATTCAAAAGCTACAGTTCTGTTCAAGAATTGGATAGCCGAACAAAGAGAGAGCCCTTCGAAGCAGGCTGCTTGTGCTGTGGTGAGACCTGTAGGCTTTTTCATTTCATACCACAGGCCTCTGAATATTCTAAAAGCAGGAGAGGGGACGGAAAACACTTTGCAAAAAAATGTCAAGTGCTATCTCCCAAGAAGCAGGCTGGTACCTCTAGAGAAATGGTTCTCTTTCCTAAAGTGGATTTTGACTGCATTGTCCCTAAGAATTGCTATGGTTCTTGGAAGGTGTGTGAATGTGTGTGTGTGCGTGTGTGTTCAGTTGGGGGGCGGGGCAATTCTTTACCTCGTACAAGCAGAGAGACCTCCAGAACATGTGGAGCTCCAGGACAGACTTAGCTGCCACCACACTGGCCTGAGACAGCCAAAGCCCACCTGCAATTTCAACCAAAGTTTCCGCTCACTTTTGACTCACACTGGCAGAAACTGCAGAGCTAGTATTCTTGCTTCCGAGCACCTTGATGCTCTAGTTCAGAGAGTAGATAGCTCCCCTAGGAGAACATCCCCACTGTCAGGAGTAGAGCCAGGCAGGAGAAGATTCCAAAGAAAAAAACCACTCAGTGAGTCCTGAAGCATAGCAGGCACCAAGTGGAAGTCAGGAGCCCAAAGGGTTTAGGCAAAGTAACTAAAAGGGAGGAAGCTGAAGCAGGATTACAAGGAAAAGGTAAGAAGTGGGATTGAGGAGGAGGAGCTGTTAGAACCAGGGATGCAGATCTGACAAACACCAGCCCAACTGGACGCTCCAAACAAAGAGGGACCCGAGTTAGACAGCAGGTAAATTCACTTTAGAACACCAAGTCCATGAGCACTGGTTACATCTTTTTGATGGTGATTTGGCCATAGCCATCCATGTAAACAATCTGATGCAGGGCACAAATGTATTTGCATCAAACACAAAATATTTATCCACCCAAGGTCATTCATTGCAGCATAGTTTGAAAGAGCAAAACACTGGAGGCAGCTTAAATGTTCATGTGTAGGAGATTGACTAAATAAATTATGGAATAGCCACACAATGGAATACTGTAGTTATTTTTAAAAGGGAGAGAGAATAAAACAGATCTTTTGTATACCTCTCAGAACAGACTCAAAGAATGTATTTTAAAAAATGAAAAAAGGGGGAGAGGAGAAGGAAAAGAAGCACAGTTTGAAGGACAGTGTAGAGTGTTGCTCCATTCATGATAAACACTTTGAAGGGAGATTTGCAAATTTTTAAGAAAATTTAAGGAAAATTCTAGAAGGACACACAAGACCAAGAGCTATATGGGGAGCAGGTAAAAGAAGCATAGGGAAGAGTAGTTTTACTTTTCACTTTATAACCTTCTGTCTCTTTAAATTCATGAATGTGTGTTACTTTTATAATTCAAAGAAAAGATATTTTAATGATTAAAACAAAAACACATCTGTGCTAAAAGTAAAATTACAATTCAGAGAAGTTACTTCTATGAAGACTGCCATTCCCCATCAGGTCAGAAAAATGAAGTGTAGCTAGTCAAAACACACAGCAGTCAGCTGGTCATGGCTTACTCCAATTTCACATATGGAAATAAAAATGCCTATCTCACCAGATTAGAAATATTCAATAAGATTTATAGAAAGCACCCATACTTGTGGGCATTGAGTAGGAAAGTGTTCAATAGAAGTCCATCACCAGCCCTCCCCACTGCCCAATCCTGACTGTCTCTGAAGCACGAGACAGTGGGCAGCCCGGGGCAGCCATGACAGATGCAGATGCAGGAGCTCATCCAGCCCAGGTGAACTTCCGGCTGGACCACAGTCAGTCCTTGAAGACGAGGGGAGACAGTCCTCAACCACAGAGTCATTTCCTCAAGATCTGCAACTTCATGCAAGAACAATCCTAGACCATGGGTTCCCCAGTAAAATTTCCATTTCAGAGACTTGAAATTTCCCCCAAATGTATTTCCCCCAAAGAGTCTCTTCCCCCATCTTGAATAAACCAGCTTGATGAAGAGCTAGAGACTCCCACACTTTTTGCCTTCCCTTTCCTGTTCTCTGTCCACAGATTACCCTCCCTAATGCCCTTTGTGTTCTCTCAAAAGAAATGAACAACCTGGCTCTGAGGTCCAGACAGGGGTTACCGGAAGGGAAAGCTGGAGGAAGATGGGTAAATTGGGTAAAAGGGATCAACTGTATAGAGAAGGATAGAATCGGACTTTTAGTGATGAATTTAATTAATGATGCATATCTGAAACCTATTAATATTATAATTTTGTGGCAATTAAAATATTTTAATTTAAAATATGCAAAAAAATCAATTTTGAATAACTCCCCTTTAAAAAAAAAAAACAAAGAAATGATGCCTGAGGTCAAATATGAACCCTGCCCAAACAGGAGGGGCAGGTCGTGCTCACCCAGCTCCAAGGCCACCCGCACCCTTCCCCCAAGCTGGGTTCCTGGAGGTGGCTACAGTCTCTGAGCAGGAGGTAAAGAGAGATCAGATATCCCCTGCGGGGCTGTCCTTTGGAGCCAGAAGCCCCGAGAGTCCCTGCTGCAGCCCCACACACCCTCCACCAGGCCCCACGGGCAGGTGGAGCCGAGCTGGGAAGGGCTCCCACAGTGCATTAGCTCAGAACAGGGAGGAGGAAGAGGAACATCACACTACCCAGCGCCTCTTGTCAATAATTCATGAGGTTCAGACTGATGGGCACCAGTCGGAGAGTCAGTTTTCCTGGACACGGGGGAAATAAGACTTAAGCTCTCTTGTCTCATCAGGATGTGCTGAGCACCAAAGCTGAGAACTGCCACTGTAACTTCTCGGTTGAGGAACACAGTGAGTTGGGCAGGGGCCTGTGGGAGCACTTGCTACCCAGACGCCCCCTTTTGAACAGTAAAATCCTTTGTGTAGCCACCTGGCTGACCTGCACATAGACTCAATGAATCTTTAACAAGTTTGAATTCTATTAAACACCAACCCCAAACTGAATATCACAGACGAGAATTCTCTCTCCTCTATCTGGGTCTGATACTGGGGTGTCAACTTGACGGTTTCACCAACTACCAACACTTCTCAACTTGTTACAGGGCAGGGCGAGGGGCAGCCCAGACCCCACAAACCTGCCTGCTCTAAATAGGTTCTGCCATCTGCCGCATCAACACAAAGCATATGAGACTTTCATGGGAAGGAACTTTAATACAATTAGGAAACAATACAGGAAAGGCAAAGAGTCTAGTTTCTAAATGAAGCACCCAAAGTTACCCATCCCCTCGTGGGTAAAAGTCCACCCAAGCAGGATTGGCCCAGAGCAAGGCCCCAAATCCTGCCACAAGTACAAAGCATCTTCCAGTGGGGACCCACAGAAAAGGATCAGAAACCACCACACAAGTCTGGAAGGAAAAGAGCAAAATCAAAATCAAGACAAAACCGCCACTGTCACCTCCCCACGGGTCTCTCACCCACATCTGTGTCACCCAGTCCACGACCAAAAGGCAAGCGCAGTTTCTTCACGTGTCTCTTGGCCCCATGTGCCTCCTCCAGGTCTCCTGGCTCTCCATCCTGCTTCCTTCTTTCCTCAGTCTCTTCTGCAGCTTCTTCTCTCCCTGCTCAGCTCCACCCTCCCTTGGGTGGGGCAGGGAACCTGGAACCTTCCCCTTTCCTGGGACCACCCTGTTACAAACTGACCTACCTGCTTTCATCATCGTTTCTTACTGCAAAGAGCAACACCAAAACAAGGATGCAAAATCACATCCAGAATAAAGGTCCGACTGCTAGGTTAAATGAGCTTCTCTTCATGAAACTCACTGTATTATCTTCATTTTGCTCACTTTGGGTGGCACCTAGTGAAACTTTGCCATGGCCAGCTCTACTTCTCAGCCTGGCATTTGGAGGCCACTGGTTTAAACCAATTCAGACACTGGCAGTTGGGTCTGCAGGGCCTTTCTAGAGTGTGCCATACGGTCTCTAGATTTATTAATTCTCACAGAAACCCAAGAGGGAGATCATTTCAGCCCACTTGGCAGAAGTAGAGTCTGAAGTCTCAGATACGGAATTTATAGCTAGTGAGGAATTTATTCATCATCTACTCCAGTATCCTCAATTTACAGACGAAGAGACTGGCCTGTGCTGGCAATAATAATTACTATATGGGGGCAATAATTACCATGTGTTTAGTAGTTTACCATTTATAAAGTGTTTTTATGTTCAGCAAACATTTACTGGACTGGGGTAGAGGTAAAGACCTGGGACTTAGTGATTACCCTCAATTGGGCAAGCTTCAGTTCTCTGTATTTCCAACACTGGTTAGGGGACCTCTAGCCCCTTGCTATCATTTAGGCCTGTAAAATGGGGAAGTCCTCTTGGGAAGAGGCTGTAAGATCAGGATCTTTCTCCCTACTGGATAGTTACCACCGTGATCGGTTTCCCCTCCAGGCTTGTGATGCTAGAGGTGGGGAGCCAGAGAGAAGAGCAGTGCAGGCCTAGACCAGCTGCTCCCACACATCTCTGTCCCAACTCCTCTGCCCTCACCCGTGCCCCTCACTTGAGGAACTCTATGGGGACCACTTCCATAGCCAACCTCAAAACATTTGTCCTTATGAGGACTGAGGAAAATGTCCCTCTTGAGGTTCTGGAAGGCAAAGCAACCAACCCTAAGTGCCTCTCCCAAGGAAACCAACCCAACCCTCTCCCAAGGAAAGGCGTGAGTAAGCAGACGAGCAAGGTGGGGCGCGCAGGCAGGGGAGCGCGCGGGTCGCTGCAGGGGAGCGGCGGGGCGGGAAACCCGGAGAGCCTGCCCTTTGCTCCCCCACCTGGGCAGGGGACGGCGGGGCGCGGCGGCCACGCGCCGGCAGGGGGCGCCCGCGGTCACGGTCGGCTCCCCCAGCGAAGAGCCAGCCCAGGCCGGAGTCCAGCCCCGGGGCGGCCGGGGGCGGACGGGGCGGGGAGGCGACCGCCCCTTCCCCTGCCCCCAGCTGTAGTCCACGGTCACCTCCCGAGGGCGGCGCGGAGCCGTGCGCGACCGCCGGCGCCATGCAGAAGGCGGGGCTGCTGCGGGGCGTCTTCACCCGCGTGTGGAAGTCTGTGCGGATGGCCAGCTCCGGGGGGGCGCGCCGGGACCGGCTTGCGAATAAGGTGGCCCTCGTAACGGCTTCCACCGATGGGTGAGTGCCTGGCTCAGCGTCTCGGAGGCCCCTGCTGTCTAGAAGTCGGTACTAAGCCGTGCTTAACCCCCGGGCCCCTGTCCTCAGGCCTCGAGGCGCAGCCAGAGGCGGGGCTGGGGAAAGAAGGAATCACGTGGCCGACCTGTAGCCCCAGGAATCCCGGGCCAGGCCCCTCCGCTGTCAGTCTCTGTCATTGCCTCCTCTGGCTCAACTGCCCCAGCCCAGCTTTGCCCCCATCAATCCTGTCTCCAGGGCTCTGGGCTGCCCCAGTCACGGGCTCCACCTAGAGTCTGGGAAGACCAGAGGCAGAAATCCAAGAGAGCCCACATTTCTTAAATCCCTTCTGGCTGCTTCAATCTACTATAGAAATGTTCTAGGCACCTCATCTGGGCAGTCCTGCAAGCCTCCCAGAAGCCACCGCCATCCTAGAAGTCGCACAAAATCATGAGTCCAGACTTTTTGTCTTGTTCAGTACATTTGACCTCCCTTGCCCAGCCTCTCTCTAAACACCACTCTTGTCTGTCTTGTTTCTCATTCCCCCGGCTCTTTGCTAGCTGCTAGCTTTTCACAACTCCGAAACAGAAACGTTGCAAAAGGCTAATGGCTGCCAGTTGCTGCAGAGTGTGTAATCCTTACTCCCTGGGGAGTGATGTAAACATTTTCATTCCAGTCAGAGGCCTGCCCTTTCACATGCACCTCAAAACATAACTAAGGACAGAATTTTGAGATGATGTAGATTCAAAATGAAGATATTTGGGGGCAGGGGCTCGCTTGAGTGAAATCATCCAATCAGGGAAGTGGCTGCAGCTACACCCCTAGTTCATTTCTTTCCCACAGTGCCCATAGGGTGCTGGACACCCCCCCTTGAGGCACCTGTGGTAGGCTTAGCTACTGAGTGCTATAGCTTAAGTAAAATCAGTAAACAAGTGCCAAAGGTGTGCCAAACATATCCATCTGCATGGTTATGGTTGTGGTGCACCACTCACCCTATTTACACAGAGTACAGACACATGGAGGTCACCCAGAGGGAGATCTGTGTCTCTGGAGTCCATGCCCTCACCCTCGTCCCTGTTCTGGCCCTGACAGTCTTTATCTCTGCCCACAGGATTGGCTTTGCCATCGCCCGGCGACTGGCCCAGGATGGGGCCCACGTCGTGGTCAGTAGCCGGAAGCAGCAGAACGTGGACAAAGCAGTCAAGGCCCTGCAGGGGGAGGGCCTGAGCGTGACGGGCACTGTGTGCCACGTGGGAAAGGCTGAGGACCGGGAGCAGCTGGTGGCCACGGTGAGCAGCAAGGGTGTGGGCACAAAGCCTGAGCCCCCTTCCATGCTTTACTGGATAATACTGGTGTGATCCAAAGGGACACTTTTAACTAAAACATGAGTTCTATGTATCCACGCCAGTCTGCCACACATTTTCATTGTGTACCTTTCTGTTACGTCTCCAAATATCATCCCAGCCCAGTCAGAATCAAAACCACTAGTGCAGCAACCCTGGCTCATCCCTTGGGGCACCCAAGAACACAACTGGGCCTGGTTCACCAGTAGTTTTCAGTTCTGTTGGGCAAATGAGAAGAGTGAATACAGTGGCAAAGTAGATGTTCTCCCACCCATGAGCTAATAAATAATCCCGATTCTTCATCTTATACACAAGCCCCTAGAAACCTGAAGGTGGCAGCCCACCGTGTTCCAGCCCCACGCTGTGTACCATTCACTTTGTTATCTCCCAGCCTGACAAGCAGCCTGGCAAGGCAAGGGTTATTCTCCCTGTTCACAGAGACTGGTTCAGAGAGCTGGCAGGAACTCCCTAGGTCACACAACCAAGTAGGGAAAGACCTATGAGTCAGAGCAAACCTGCCAAGCTGCCTACTAACTACCAGGCATTTCCTCACTTGGATTGGCTCCAGTCCTAGGTGCCCACTTGGACTTTTGTCTCAAAGAATGTGCTAAGCCAGTGTCAGTGTTGTACTAGGCACCAGCCTTCTAGCTGCACAAGCAAATATGACCATCTGACAAAGGGCGCTCATCTTCTCTCCAGGTGGGCACACACTATTCCCTAGAGTTGAAAGCAGAATCTACCCAAGAATGGAAAATACAGGAATGAGCTAACAGAATGGAAGACTAGCAGGCAAAATTTGGGCAATCTTAGGAAAGGGAGATGTTCATTAAATGATGGTAGACTGTGGTTTGGGAGCTGGTATAAGGTCATTCTATTTTTTAGGGATCCATTTGGAAACTGCTCAGTGTGCATTAGCGAACCAGATGTGAGTGTATGCCTGGCATAGGCTGCCCGACAGAGCCTGAGTCTGAGACCTTGATGCTGAGAGTGATGGGAACATTGGGATCTTAGGCCAACTTAGGGACTTAATGTCAACACCCTGCCAAGAAAAGAACCTCTTGCTTCACCAGCCTCTCTTAACCTGTCCTGCAGCTTTGGCCTAGAAGTAGGTCTTTAGCTAGACCTTGAGTGTGTGGGACTGGACAGGTGGAGTAGGGTCGGGGTTCCAGATGACCCCGCAAAATGAGCAGACAGCCAAGAAGGGACTGAAGAGATGAGGGGCCACTGCCTTCCACAGCAGAGAACTCAGGCTGGTGGGAAGCAGAGTAGGTGGGAAGGATAGGGGTTGAGGGTCTTCATGGCCTCCCAGAGGAGTTTGGACATTGTTGTAGGAGGTAAGAGGCTGTGTGAAGTGAGTGGTTGAGAAAAATGAAAATAGTTATTATGGAAAGATGATCTGGCAGTGGTAGGAGGACTATATTGGAGCAGGGAAGATTCCAGGCCAAGGATATCAGTATCTCCTTGGATACACCCAAGGAGACATTGGTGGGAACCAAGATTTTTTTTTTCTAAACTAATGTCAAAAAATGGAACACAGGAGGGATGAGTCAAAAATGACTCTCAGGTAACCTGTATAACCCATCTCAGGTGGATAATGAGCGACTACCTGGTAGCAATTTGAGATGTATTCTGATTGCGAGCTGTTACCCAGTGATGAGGTAACAGCTGTCCTGAGGACGGGCACTACCCAGTGGCCTAATTTGCCCCTCAAAGCTTCTCACAAAGTGGTGAGCAGAAACCCAATTAGCTTCTTCTCCAGGTGATTATACTTTTTCTAGAAAATACACTTATCAGAACACAGAGCAAACAACTTAACCACCTAAGTGTAGTGAACACATCGTTTAGAGCAAGACTCAGAAGACACCTAGGTTGCCATTGTGCCTTTCTCATTAATCTTCTGTGCTACTGTCTCTGTTCAATCAAAGCCCAACTTTCTCCCCTCTCTGAGCTGATATCCGGAAGAAGGGGAAGATGGGATGCTCAGCAGAAGTGAAAGACCTCAGGGTGGTGATTCGGTTATAATCCACCATCTTCTCCCCACCCCGGGTATAGATGGAGCCCAGCACATGGCACTTTCTGACTTACGCTGCCCTGGCCTAGTTACACATCCACAGGCAGGACTTAGCCAGAGCCAGAGCAGGTGACTGGGCTTTGTGCCAGGATACCAAAATTCAGAGAGCACAGAAAAGTATCGATCTTACTTTTAAAAAGTGTATGTGATTTTAAATTTGTTAAATTTACGTGTTGACAGCCCAGGCATTCCTTCAGCAGTGTAGAAGCAACTGAGCTTAGCACCTAGTTAGCAAGAATAATTAGTTAAAAACGGGAGCTAGCAGATGGTACACGTTGTTAATAACAGCCCTCTGTGCGCCAAGTCTCGAAGCACAGCGTTGATGGAGGGCCCATTCAGCGCTGCTTGCCCAAGGCAGCAAGATTGCCAGATCTGGGCAAATGCAAAGTCTGGTTTCAGAGTGGTGTATTGTTGGCAGATTCTGTTTGGCTACTCATTACACCAGCACATGGCTTCTCCTACTTAAAATTTATTAAGGAGGTGAGATGTCGCCTTTCTTGGTTTTATGTGTTTAAACCCCAGTTTCTGCCTTGAATCTTCCATGCCTTTGGGCCAACAAAGGTGGGGATGACATCATCACTGACTGTGGACCTGCTTTAAGCCCAGGCTGGTGTCTTTCGCATTGTGGCTCCTGGGTAGCCAGCTTCTAGTGACACCAGGTCACTCTGGGGAGAGTCCTGTGAACTAGCTGTGTGCTAGAAAGTAGGAGACCCATCTCAGTTCTGTCCCTACTAAGCAGCTTTATGCCTTGAGCAAATCACTTCCCTTCCCCCAAAAACTAGATGAACAGACCTCACACCTGAATGTGTCATTCCTGAGCTATACCACCTTCAGAAATCAACTCTCCTTGTCCTCAGTTTCATCATATTCACCATAAGGAACTGACTAGATGATCTCGAAAGACCCTCCACTGGTAACTTTCTGTGGGTCTATTTAAACTGGTTTCTTCATTCAAGTGCATGCGGACAGGTTGAGGTTGAGATCTGGACACAGGAGACCTAGGCAGTAAGCACTTGGAGAAATGGGGCTGGATCTCCATGTGAAAGAGGACAGGTCTAGAAATAGATTTTGAGGTAAGAGCTGAGTTACCCAAAGGGAAGATGTAAAGAAAAGAGCAAAGGATTAGAGACAAACTTCGAAGAAGTGGGAGCAAGAAAACAAGACTGCCAAATAAATTAGACAGTCTTAAATGTCTGACAGCGGAGCTTGGAGTAACTCTAGAGAGAAATCGTTTCAAGGAAAAGAGATGTTGTTTTGACAATTTTCCTAAGAAGCAATTCTTTATCAATGTGGACCCGCACTGACCTGCAGTCCTCATTCTGAACTTACTTCTCTCTCTAGGCTTTGAAGCTTCACGGGGGCATTGACATCCTGGTCTCTAATGCTGCTGTCAACCCTTTCTTTGGAAATCTAATGGATGTCACTGAGGAGGTGTGGGACAAGGTAAGCGGGGATTAAAGCAGCAGGGGGCGGCCTCAACTCAGTCTGCCTTTAGAATGCATCTGTCAAGTGCAACACAATGTGGGAATGAATCCTTGCCATTTGCCACACTTCTGGAGTGCACCTAGCAAAGGGCGAGTGAGGGGTGGCTTCTTCGGTCCTGCCCTTCTCCTTGTTTCCACTTCTCCCCAGTCTATACTTCCACTTGTTCCTTGCTGGTTTTCTGCTTCCCTCTCCTATACCTCCCCCACCTCCACCACCACCACCACCACTTATCCAGGCTCTTCTTCCTAGTTCATTTCCAGCAGAGACATGGCAGCTAATATGCCAATAACTAATACACTTACACTTACACACTCCCCGTCCTCTTTCAGCTGCCAAAAAAAAAATGATTTTTCATTAGTTAGAAACTTTAATAGATGCTAGTTAAGTGAAATACCAATTCTGATGAAATGGCCTAACATCATTTCATATAGCAATTAAGAAAGACCAGTGCCCTTTTCTTCTTAATACAATGTCAACAAAGTCTAACATGTAGGGCCTCCCTGGTGGCACAAGGAGTTAAGTGTCAGCACCATGAAGCTATCTACAACTACTGCAGCACAAGTTCGATCCCTGGCCCTGGAAGTGACCCACATGGTGCAGCAGACCTCTCCTGTCTTGCCCGCTGCTCCCCTCAGCAGTGTGTTTCAGTCAGTCTGCCTTTTCTGCTCCCCACTCTGTCTCTGATGAATCTTCTCACTCCCACGCCTCTGGCCTGTACCCCAGCTCTTATATGCATAAATAAATAAGTCTTAAAAAAAAAAACTCTGAGATGTACATATCTAAATTCAAATGCTAGAATTTGGTTTTTGTGCACGCCTGTATAATCACATCATATTTCTGTTTCAGACACCTATTTTACTATAGTCTTAATTAAAATATTTGTCTTTGTTTACTAAGGTTAATATTCCCCTGTGACTTGGATATGCTGAATTTTTTATGATCTCCTTTGATTTTGCTTTTTATTCTGACATCATCAATTATTACTTAACACTGACGTTTAAAGATACTAAAATATTATAGTTTGTTTATCAGCATTTCACCAACATAAAGATCAAAGTGCCAAAATACTCTTCAGTGAATCAGTTCCTGATTGATCTTCTTTAAAGCAGAGAAACATTTTTCACAAGGCTTCTGCATGAAGACCACAGGAAAATCAGTTTTAAAGTAATTTTTCTTTTCAGTTTGCATTTTTTAATAACCCACTATATCAAATCTAAATGTGATACTTGATCCTTAATTGAACTTTGGATTTTTAAAATAAGAACATTTAAGGGACACTTTGGGAAGTCTTGTGCTGGACAGCATATTTGGTAAAATCACTTTTATCAATGTTAAATGTCTGGGGTGTGGAAATGGACTGTGGTGTGTAAGAGAATATCCTTATTGCTAAAGTATTTAGAGATAGCGTTATGGCATCTGCAATTTATCTTCAATGGTTCAGGAAAAATAACTGTATAGATACATGGATACGGCAAATGGGGCAAAATGTGAACAGCTGATGAATCTAAAGGATATCTAGATATTCCTTGTATTTCTATTTTCAACTTTTCTGCAAGATTGAAATTTTTCATATTAAGAAGCTAACACTTGGGGGCATGGGAAGGAGGTAACCCAGCAGTGCCAAGAACAATGTGAGCAAGGGTCACACATTTGTTTTAAATTATGGATGTTGGGCTTTGATTGTAACCTAGGCCTCAGTTTCCCCCAGTGTGATCCTACTTTCTGCTGACTGTCCAGCCAGACAGTCCTTCTTGGAGAGCTGAGAGTATCTCAGCCCCAGAACTCAGAAGCCAGAGAACAACCCCAGGTGCCAAAGGTCAGGTCTCGTTTTCCAGGAGAAGCACGGCCCGCTCCAGGGCAGGTCCATGAAGCCCACCTGATTCCAAGCTCTCCCTAGCTGGAAAAAAAAAAGAACAACAGAAGATTCAACTCAAATCCAAGGCAGCCTTAAGCCTTTAGAATTTTCTGGGCCAAATCATACTTAGCTGGTTAGGAAACAAGAGGAACCAGTCTCCATGCTTTCTCACCCTAACCTAATGTGCCATTCTCTAACTGAATACGCCTTCCCGAGCTCCCATGTCTTCCCCTGTAAGGTCCAGGTAAGTGATCTCTAAGAATCCCACCTGCCCTAACCTGCAGATGCTGGGAAAGTACATAGCTCCTCGTCGCTTGCCTTCTCCAGCTCCCTTCTTCATTCCCCCTTCTCTTGATTTCAGATTCTGGACATTAATGTGAAAGCCACAGCCCTGTTGGCAAAGGCAGTGGTGCCGGAAATGGAGAAACGAGGGTACAGGGGGCAAGAGGGAGGCAGGGTGCAATGGATCCCCCATGGGCTGGGGGCGGTGACCTCCACCAGGAAAAGGGTCATTCCCTTCTTTTTCCAGAGGCGGCTCCTTGGTGATCGTGGCCTCTATCGCAGCCTACAGCCCATTTCCTGTAAGAACCCCTTTCTCGGCTATGGCCATCTTCCTCCCTCCTGCCCCTTTCCACCTCTCCACTCCCCCTAAGAAGTTTTATTGGCCTTTAGAATCACAATGCCAATGCCCCTCCCACCCAACAGATGCCTTGCCTCCCCAAGCCCTAACTTAGAGATTTAGCCACACTGTTTTCTAACTGGGAGCCTCCCTTGCCCTAGTATCTACTGTCCTTTATGTCCACCGATGAGTACCACAGGTGATGAGCTGGAAATGAAGAGACTAACCCATTCTCTCCTTTCTCCAGGGCCTGGGCCCTTATAATGTTAGTAAAACAGCCTTGGTGGGCCTCACCAAGAACCTGGCCAGTGAGCTGGCCCCAAAGAACATTCGGGTGAACTGCCTGGCGCCAGGACTCATTAAGACTAACTTCAGCAGTGTGGTGAGCCAGGGGTGTCCTGCATCCCTCTGGGACCCTAAAGGGGCATCTCCTTGGGTGGGAAAGTCCAGCACCTGAGTCCTGAGCTCCCAGCGACTCCTTCCTCCCTGGGATTTTCCACACTCCCCCTCCACACCAGCCGCCTGTCCAGCCCACACCCTCACAGGCTCCCTTCTGGAGGTGTGTGGTGGAGTCTAAGGAGTTCAGATCCTACTCACACTGTATTATGTCTCCGAAAGTGATTGAGAAATGGGGAGGCCCAGGGAAATGCTTCCCTAGAACCTGAAAAGAAAGAACAGAAGAGGGAGGGCCTGGGAGCTAAGGAAGGACTAGGACATGGAAGAGGGTGGCTCTTCCTCCCTCCACTTACATGCGGCCAGCAGTTTCTCCCCTGTCTGTGCCTCTTTTTCCTCTTCTTTCACATAAAGAGATTTCACTTTTTCGCACAGTTTTGGAAGGACAAGGCAAGAGAAGACAGCATAAAGGAAATCATGCGGATAGGAAGGTAAGGCTGTCACGGAGAGGGTCGGGAAGGATAAAGTCTGAAGGTCTGGTCCCTCAAGCCCACAGACGACACGGGCACATACTCCTCAGCCACAAGCACGCACTTTACAAGTTCATGGCATTGCGTCACTACAGTGACGCCTGCAAGTGCTGCAAAGACCAAGCTGAGAGGCACCCAGGTCTCAGGAGAATGGCGCTCTGGGAGAGGCCCTGACTTTCCTCCCTCCCCCTGGGTGTTGCCTCCACTTCTGGGCGTCCCTAGCCACCTGCGGCCAAAACCATGCTTTTTCGTTCCCCTTGGGGAACAAAAGCTCAGGTTGATGATCCTATATTCCAAATAAAAGGAACAAAGAACTTCACTAATGCCAAAACTCCCCTTGCCTAAGAAACTCCCCTGTTCCCCAAAGGGATAGCCAAACTGGGTATCTTCGTCAGGTTCACTCTCTAAGTTCCCTGCCTCGCTCCAGCTTCTGGCACCTGGGAACTCTCTCATCTTTAGCTTCTCCATCATGTCCCCTCCAGGCACAAGCCAGAAATACCTACTCTATACTGCTCCAAACAACCCACACACTCTCAAGCTCTCCCAAATCCATGCTCATGTGAACATGAGCATACCATGAGCCGCAGGCCTCGTTCACAACTCACAGCTCATTACTAAGTAAGGGTATGGCCATCCTAGAGCCCAAAGAATGATCCAGCCAAGTGTTTCTGAATCTTGGATGCACATTAGAGTGAGCTGGGGTGATTTTGAAACTACAAGTGTTCAGGTTCCGTATTGGTCCAATACAGGAACAGGGCCTCTTTCTTTTCTATTTTTTGGGAGGTGGTGGCAAATGATTACAATGTGCAGCTAGGATGGAGACCCACCTCATCCAGAGCTTATACCCATTCTACCCACCTCTAGAGCATTCTGTGACAGTTAGGTTAAAGCATCCCCTAACTGCGCAATCGCTGATGCAATCCCTGACACTAACACCGAGAATAGCACGTTCTCACAAAATGAACCTGACTTTAAGGAACAAAAATAGACTCCCGAAAAGATGGTCTGTGAACTGAAGCTGTACAAATGGAATCATTTTAAACAATGCATTGGCTGTGCACAGATTCCCTGACACTTGAATAGTATGCACACAGGTGAAACTGATTCTTTCAAGTATGAAATAGCTGCTCACCAGTCTAATCTAACTTTGAATATTGGTGCCCTGAGTTCTCTAAAAACTGTGTCTCTGAAGTGTTCAGGTATGATGTGTGATGGTTTTTGCTGAGCATAGCCCTTATGCCAAATTATAACAGCTGATTTTCATGGTAGCACTGTTTGATGAGCGGGAAGCTTGTGAGTGCTCCCAAAGAATCAACTGATATTTTTTGATTAAGCAAATTTCATTCCCTGTGGCCAGGTCGGAGGGTATGGCCTGTTTGATGGTTACTGCCTTCTTGTATCCCACCCGCAGGATAGGCAAGCCAGAGGAGTGTGCAGGCATCGTATCTTTCCTCTGCTCTGAAGACGCCACATACATCACTGGGGAGACGGTGGTGGTGGGTGGAGGGGCTCCATCCCGCCTCTGAGGACCTGGAGAAAGCCCCCCAGGGCAGATTGGACGCCAGCTCCTGGATCTGTTCCGGCATTCACCCAGTGGCCTCTCACACCCCTGCCTGTCACACTGCTCACCTTATACCCCACTCCACCCCCAAAATCTGGCCTTTCCTGAAGTCGAAGTGTGTGGTCTTATGAGGAGTCCCACAGCTGCTTTGCCTTAAAGACTTCCCCGGAGAGCACAGGGAAGGCCTGCTGAGAAAGCCAACTAGTATTTGGTGGGTGGTAGGGGGCATCTGGGAAATTTGAAGAAAATGGGAGAGAAGGAACCTGGAGTGGAAGGAGAACTGCTGGAAATTAACAACTTGCAAATGAGGTGCAAATAAAATGCAGATGGTTGTGTTGCTCCGAATCAGTGTGCTCATTTTTCAGTGCTGGGTATAAAGGTATGGTATCAAGCACAGAGCCCAAGTCTGGGTGGACGGCATCTCTGGATTCTCCTGGCCCTCCTCCCTGTCTCCAGGACCTGAGCTTGAAGCTCAGGGATGGAGGTGTCTGCAGAGCTGCCAGCTGGGAGGAGTTGGCACGGGAATTCCCAGGTGCTACTCTCGGCCTAACGCCAGTGGGGATGGTGCCAAGAACGCCACCGGGATCCCCAAGGCTGGGAGGTCTAGAAAGGAAGAACTCCCCAGATGGAGCCATGCCCTCTCCCAGCATCACCCTCGGTCCCAGTTCCCTCGCGGGTCAGCGAGGACAAACTGGACAACCGAGCAAGCGAGGTGGAAAAGGGAGGGGCCTTGCAAGCATGACCCGGGGAGGGGTACCTGGGCTCATAAACAAAAGAAGTGGGTTATGCTCACAGTGCCCGAGGAGTGGGTGGCACGGAAAGCGGGCACGCTGCCCCCTGCCCCAGGGATGGTCCGAGCTCCGGGCGGCACGCAAAGGGCGTCGCACGCGGGAGCCGGCGGGAGGGGTGGGCGCGCGCGCGGGGTCTCACGCGGCCCGGAGGCGCGGCGCGCATGCTCACGCCGGAGCCTCCCCGGGAGGGGCGGGAGCCCCGCGCCCCGAGGCGGGGGGAGGAGCGCTCGCGCAGCCGCCCCTGACAGGAGCGGGCTCGGCGGCTGCTGCAGCGCTCGGCGCCCGGGCCCTGCCAGAGCCGGGTCTAGCATGTGCCTCGGCTCCCGGCGGCGGCGGCGGCTTCTCTGCAGCAAGAGCAGCAGCACCGGCCGCCATGGCCAAGCCCAGCACGGAGCTCACCCGCGAGCTGCAAGGTACGAAGCTGCGGTGGTCTCCGGGACACCCCGTCCCGGACCCTCCCAGACCCAGTGCGTTCCTCCCGCGGTAATCCCAGCCCCGACCATCCCGATCCCCATGCACCCCGGCTCTAAGGCGGCCCCTGCATCCCAGCTCGGAGCATCGCTGTCCCCGAAGCATCCTCCGCTGCCCCCCTCGCCTCACCCAGTCAGGACCTTCCTGTCCCGGAGCCGCCTGTCCCTCTCATCGGGGACAGGTGTCGTCTCCCTGCGCTCCCTGGGGCTGACTCTCGGCGATCCCGGCCCACCCCTCGGCGAGGTGTCCAGCCTCCGCTCCGGAGAGTCCCCGTTTCCTTGCCGGGCGGGGCCAGGCCCGCCCCGCCGGGCGATGGGAGCTGCCCCTGGTCCTGACCGCCTCCTGACTCAACACCCTCCCTCCTCCCGGCCCCGCCCCGGAACTGGCCCTGGGGAGCCCCCCTGGCAGCTAGGCAGCGCCCAGGTCAGTGGGGCAAAGAAGGGAGTCAGGCAAGACGGCCTGCCTGGATTGGAGCTAAGGCCAGGAGCAGGGTCTCTGCAGTCTGCCTCCCACAGCCTCTGTCCCAGCCTGTCCCCTTCTCACTACCCCGCACCACACCTCAAGGCCTCTCCTGCCTCCATGGTTCTCAGGCTCACCCCAAACCAAGGTCCAAGCCCCGCAGCACTGCCACAACCATGACCCCCAGAGGCAGGAGCACACACTAGCCCACACAGAGACCAGGACGCTCAAGGATACTTAGAGGCGTGCTGCACCGGCGATTTCCCACACCTACACACACTTAACCCCCAACACACGCACACTGCTGGGTCGACTGGTAGATAGGTGCGGGGTTCTCTGTGACTCTAACTTCTACCCCCCTCCGCCACACACACACCCCGGAACTGTCTGACTCTGTGCCCCTTTCACAACTGCATAACATACTCATTCACGCTTATCCATCCCCACCGGTGCCACACACGGGCTTGCTGGCATCTCCAGAAGGCACGCACACACATAGTAAAAGGCAGAGACTCACACCCAGGCCTCCCAGAATATAGTCAAAGGGACACCCCCACGCCCCCACGCACTGACTCACTGTGTATGTGTCGACGGCTGCTGGAGTGCACGGGTTGGGAAAATTCTTCACATCCTCACAAGTGTAAGACACACTCCCACAGACACTGTCACTCAGCGACTGTCCCCTGTCTCGGGGATATCAGAAGCCAGAGTTTTTCCCACACCCCTGCCTCCCTAATAAGAGAAAAGCCACTTAGGAAGGAAAGGGCTCTGGCCCTGTCCTTTTCTTTGTTTCTCTCTCCTCCTGTCTGCCCCTGCCCCTGGAGAGTCCTGGGGAGGTGGGGGTGGCAGGCGAAGGAGCGCTCTGAGCAGGCCCCCGCCCCCCTGCAGACAGCATCCGGCGGTGCCTGAGTCAAGGGGCTGTGCTCCAACAACATCGGGTGAAGCTGGAGACGAAGCCGAAGAAGTTTGAAGACCGAGTGCTGGTGAGGGCCCTGAGCTTGGGGAAAGAGGGATGTATCAAGGCCACCCCGGGTGGTGGGGACAGGGGCCACAGAGGAGAGGGACAGCTGAGGAGACAGCCCAGGGGAGAGGGCAGGCAGGACTGGGTAGACAGAGTAGAGATGGGGTTCCCAGAGCCCGAGGGCAGAGTTGCCAGCAGGGTTGCCCCCAGGCTGAAGGGGTTGAAGGAGGGCAGGGGTGCCAGGGCCCCAGAAGCTGCCGTTGCTGGCTGACCTTCTTCTCCTCTCTCTGAAGGCTCTGACCTCCTGGCGCCTCCACCTCTTCCCCCTTAAAGTCCCAGCCAAGGTGAGTCGGGCCGAGGCACCAGACAGCCCCTGGCATGCTCCCTCCTGAGCCTGGCGGCCAGTCCCTTACCATGAGCTGAGCATCTCCATGCCCCCAGGTGGAGAGCTCCTTCAACGTCCTAGAGATCCGCGCCTTCAACACGCTCAGTCAGAACCAGGTGAGCACCAGGGCTGGGGCCGCTGCTGGAGGAGGGAGTCAGCACCTGAGGCCCTGCTGCTGCCTCTCCCCAGGTCCTGGTGGAGACAGAGCGGGGCATGGTGAGCCTGCGGCTGCCCTCCGCTGAGAGCGTGGACCAGGTGACCCGACATGTGAGCTCTGCCCTCTCCAAGGTCTGCCCTGGCCCTGGGTGAGTGGCAGAGGAGGAGTCTCTTGAAGGTTTAGAATACAAGGAGACTTCCCTCCCCCTCCTCCTTCCCCTGGACCTGGGCTCCTGGGACACACATGTCCCCACTCCTGCTTTTTCCTAGGGATCCAGAATCTATAAGGGGGTGGGGGGGAACCCAGAAGCTATAATCCCTCTCTGACAGGGATTTGTTCATTCTCCAGCTGTCTAATCCGGCGTGGAAATGCAGACACCCCAGAAGGGCCCCGAGACACATCCCCCAACTCTGAGACTTCCACATCTACCACTCACAGTGTCTGCGGTGAGTGGGGGCAGACTTGAGACTGGCGGGAGCAAAACCACCCTGCCCTTGTGCTGAGTCCTTTGTGTGTGGGGCTGCCTGCCCTGATGACGCCACAGCTTCTGATCCACAGAGGTTCACGGTGTAGTAGGACCCCAGGATACTAGCACATAAAATGACCTTGACCTTTCCTTGAGCCCCAAACCTGTTCCCCTTACCGCTTGTGCAGCCAGCTCATGTCCTGCCCCACAGGTGGCTTCTCCGAGACCTACGCTGCCCTGTGTGACTACAATGGGCTACACTGCCGTGAGGAGGTGCAATGGGTGCGTTGGGCAGGGACCCAGCAGGAGGGCAGGAGGGGCCCGGAGGGAGGGGGCAGAGGAGGAAGGAGCAGGTGTGAGCCAGTCCCACCTCTCCAAGGACGTGGACACCATCTATCACGCTGAGGATAACCGGGAGTTCAATCTTTTGGATTTCAGCCACTTGGAGAGTCGGTAAGCAGATGGGATAGAAACTCAACCCCCCATTCCAGCCTCAGCCCAATCCTTACCCTTCCACCGTCTCACTCTGGTCCTACCGCAGTCCCCGTTCTATCTGCCCAGCCCCTCCCCACGGCCTTCTGCCCTTCTAGGCTTGCCCAGCCCAACACCCCGCCCTCTTCTTTCCTGCCCCAGCCACCTGCTCACCACTTTCTGCCCCCTTCAATCTCCCCCACAGAGACTTGGCCCTAATGGTGGCAGCCCTGGCCTACAACCAGTGGTTCACCAAACTCTACTGCAAGGACCTGCGGCTGGTAGGGCCTCGGAGAGGTGGGGAAAAGGGGAGAACAGTGTCCTCTTTGACTGCTGATCACAAGACTCCTCTGTCCGCAGGGCTCAGAAGTGCTAGAACAGGTGCTACATACCCTGAGCAAGTCGGGGAGCCTCGAAGAGCTGGTGCTGGACAACGCCGGGCTTAAGACGTGAGGCCAACCTCCTCCTCAGGCAGTGGTGCCCCCTGACGTAGTCTTAGTGTCCCAGAGCCTCAGAGCGTGGTGTGGGCCTCTGAACTATCTCACCCAGCAGCTCGCTTTACGGAAGAGGAGACTGGGGCTCCCAGAGGGCATAAAACCCCGCAGGGGAATTCGGGACTCAGACCTCGTTCTCCCAAGCCCCGTCTCCATGCCCACTCCCTCCCTCCATCAACTACCAAGCAGGGTGGACTGCTCCAGTCTGGAGGACCCGAAACTGGGCTCTGTCTCAGCACTACTTCCCTGGTGCTCCTGAGCGGTGACAAGCTCCCCGGCTGGCCGCAAGCTGCGCCCCACCTGGGGCCCTCTAACCACGGCAGTCCCGGCCAGGCGGGCAGGTGGAGGAGGAGGGGAAGCCCAGGCGATGGGACAAACAGATCCTTCCTCCCCCTTCCCTGAAGGGACTTTGTCCAGAAGCTGGCCGGGGTGTTTGGGGAGAACGGGAGCTGTGTGCTGCATGCCCTCACTCTGTCCCACAACCCCATCGAGGACAAGGGTGAGCCCCAGCCCTGGAATCCGACCCGCACCGCCACGCAGACCCCTGTCCTAGCCCAGAGCCCACCTCGGGTCCGAATAGGGGCTCTCCAACCCGATGCCAGCCCCTGCCTCCACACTGCCATCCTCCACCCCAGGCCTGTGCCCCACTCGAGCCCCAGTCTGACTCTCTACCACCTGTGCCCTCTGCCCAGCCTCTCCCTGCGCCCAT